CGTGGATGCTACTGCCTCCTTATTAAACCTTGTTAACAAACATCTTGAAGGAAACAAAAATCATGCCAAGCTGCCAAGCTGCTATTTGCAGACTTTTCATCACTTTTCATCACTTTTCATCTTTTATAATACAATCCAACCTCACATTTTCATTGACAAACTTATAAAAAAGTTTAGTTTAGATTTTAACATTGTGGGCTGGATTCTTGACTTTTTAACATGTAGAACTCAGAGGGTGAGAGTGAATGGATGCATATCGGCGGAACTGACATCATCCACTGGATCTCCCCAGGGTTGCATCCTCTCCCCTCTCCTCTACATTTTATATACCAACGAATGCCGCAGTCGGCATGAAAATAAATTCATTTTTAAGTTTGCTGAAGACTCTGCTATAGTCAGTCTCCTTCATGACAAAGATAATAGTCATGGTCCTGTAGTTGATGAATTTGTAGACTGGAGTGACAATGCTTTCCTTCAACTCAATGTAAAGAAAACTAAGGACATGTGCACTGATTTTAGAAATAAGCCATCAAATATCAGCCAATCAACCATCATCAAGGGACAGACAGTAGAAGCTGTGGATCTTTATAATATCTCGGGACTACTGTGGAAAATAAGCTCAATTTTACTTGCCACGCCAACGCTCTCTGCAAAAAAGGCCAGCAACGTCTGTCCTTCCATGAGAAAACTGTCCAAGTTCCAGGTTGACAAGTCCCTTATGATCCTCTTTTACAAATCATATATTGAGTCTGTCCTGACTTTCTCACTTCTCTGCTGGTTTGGTAACCTCAATACCAGGTCCAAAAATTCACTCAGCAGAGTTGTTAAAATGAGCAGCAGGATATTGGGAGTACAGCAGTGTACATTATCTGACCTGTATCATAGGCAGTTATTTAGGAAGGCTAATGTCATTCTTTCTGACAGCTCCCACCCTTTACATGCTGAGTTCCAGTATTTGCCCTCTGGGTCTCGGCTCAGATTTCCCCGTTAAGAGTAACAGACATAAGTACTCCTTTATCCCTATAGCCATTTCCATTTTGAATGCGGCTCAGGGGAGGAGTCGTATTTGACTTATATATTCTGTGGCTCACTTGTTGCAGACTATGATTATGCTTTTTTATGTGATGCTGCTGCTTTTGTTTTGGTTGTTTTGATGGTGCTGTTGATGATGACGATGATACTGTTACTTTGCACTTTCCTACTTGGTGTAGGCAATTCTTGGATGCTGCATTGGCATATTGGATTCTATTTTATGTAACCTCTTATTGGCTACGTCCTAGTGTCTTCTGCTGTTTCAGCACACTGTGTCAGACAGATTAGATTCAAGAGTAAATAAAATACAGCAATCCAGGATAACAAGACAAACAGAAATAGGGTTGAAACAGTACAGCTGCCAGAGCAAAGTAAAAGATTTGGCATAGAAGCATGGCTGAAGGGCTGGTATATGTGCATGGGAGCTGGTGCGCTTGCTGTTGAATTACACTTTTCAATTATATCAGCAGCACAAACTCAGTTCCATCAACCTCCATTCTATTGGCATGGAGACAGAAATCTCAGACACAGATATTCCAAAACCTGCAAAACAAAAACTGTTTTGCCATGACACCACTACAGATAAGAGAGAATATGTTTGTTTTTTTCTTTATTGATGAGTGGAACGGATACTTTGTGAGTAAACAGTTCGAGAGAACAGATGGAAGCACAGGTAGAAATATGAACCCAGCACAACAAACTTCCACAGATACCTATTGTTTCCTACACTGGCTTTCTTTATGTCAATCAATCAGTCAATTAGATTTGTCCCTGGTTTGCTGTTGCCTGCATTTGGTTTCAAGCACAACCCATTACACTCTTCCACAGTGCTAGCTATTGATGGTGAGCAGTTGCCCATTTAAGTAGGTTACAATGATGAACTGCTGTCAGGTCAAGACCCTGGTGAGGATGACGTGGATGCAGATGAGCGTCACCGAGGTGTTTTTTTCATGGTTTGTGTAGAAATTCGTCGGTTGTGCAAACCAATTATAGCATCAGCTGTTCGGGTGGCTGGTCTTAGATGATCTTGTAGGTCAGGATGTGGAGGTTCTACGCTGGTGTGGTTATGCAAAGTCTGTGTTTATGAGGTCTGTTGGATGTACTGCCAGATTCACAGAAACGGCATTGGAAATGGCTTATGGTTGTGAAATGAACATTCATTTCACAGGCTCTGGTGAACATTCCTGCGGTCAGCATGCCACTGGCAAGCTCCCTAAAAACTGGTGTCAGCTGTGGCATTGTGTTGTGTGATCAAACCATCCCAGGCACACCTGTGTAGTAAATGTGCTGTTTAATCAGCATCTTGATATGCCACACCTGTCAGGTGGATGGATTATCTTGGAAAAGGAGAAGTGCTCACCAACACGGATTTTAACAAATTTATGACCTAACGTTGAAAGACATATTAAAAAATAAATATAATAATAAAAAAGTCTTTGATCTTTAATTTAAACCTCTGAATATGGGAGTGAAAACACAAGTGTTGCATTTAAAATTTTGTTCATTGTATTTTGTTTATGATATAACCATCCATAATAAAAAACACAATACTTGGAGTGCTTCACCACCATCACAGACTCATCAGTAAAAGGAACTGCCTCAGGTGTCATCATGTGATCTATGTATGAGTGAATGGTCTATCTTGTGATAGCAGTTCGTAAGACGTTGTTATCATGTAACCAGTGTTACAGACTTAAGTCACATGAAATCACCTGAGCCAAGACAGACAAAATATGAAAAGATGAAAATGAACAAATTTGTAAAAAAACAAAGGTCTGCAGCATGTCATGTACACGGTGAAGGCAGCAAAAGATTTAGGGCCTGTCCCAACACCCACACAGCCATCATTTTAGGCAGAATCTTCGCACCCTCCTCCACCCCTATTTGACCATGGATTCATCACCCTCCTTAAATCAAACCATCTCTACAGGGTGTAATCGCCAAAGACTTTCCACATTCTTATTCATTCGTTCACATGTTAATAAATATTCTTACATAAAAACGTGTGTCTCCTGATTGAAATGGGATTGGGCCTTAGTGATAACAGTCTGTGTGAGCTTCTCAGAACACGGCCAAGCCAATACTGTTTTCACATAAGCTTCAACAGTGTCACACATTACTGAAGATTTATCACTGCTGCCAGTAAGGTCCAGGAATGACTTGTGAAGGTTACACATTTGTCACACCCAGGTAACCACAATATGTCAACACGGACCATGATGGACTGTGGTCACCTTTTTTTCAACATTTCACTCTTTTTCAATGGGAATAATGTTGCCTTTAGACTACTAGACAAAATACTTCATTAAGGAGAATATGCAAAGTGGTATTGCCAATCTGCTTGCCTACATTCAGGCTTGGAAACCTAGTTGTCAACCTTCCTCACTTCCCTTTTACAAGATGCACATTTTCATTCAGCTCTTCTGCTCTATGGCTGGATCTGTTCAGCCAAAACACCTGAAATACTGTAAGAAGTTTTTGAACCCGAACTTAACCAAACCTTAACCTCAGAGGTAGCTGTTGTGAGCTGGGATGTATTTAGATTTAATGCACTGTCTAAATCTGTACTTTATGTTGTTGTGTTGTACTGGCTGTGAAAACAAATCTTCTCTGACATTATAAATCTAAATCTTTGTGCATGCTCATATATTTGACTGCCCATGCAGTGTACCAGGATGAACAGTATGAAGTACTTCATTCAATTAGTAATATCCTTTTTCTTTTAAATCTTTCTCATATACTTCACCTCACACCTTTTAAGTTTCAGTGTTCTGTTAGTAATAAACTCACACCATGTAAATTTTCATTTTAAAATTAACATTTTCCCAAGCAATGTCTTCCTTACTGTTTTCAAATGGCCTCCAACAATAGAGGATTGGGACACAGAAACATCCAGTATGATGGATAGCACCCAAGGGAAATGAGTTGTTGTCCCACATTAAAATCATCGTTAAAATCCCTTTATCAACACATTCTCACTCCAACCTCATCACTGACATATTGGTCATGGATTTTCCACGTCGGAAAAGGATGTGGAAGTTACCCTGGATGCATTGATTGTTGACATTCTGGGACGCCGTGTCAAGGTCTGCCCGTTACATGCATTGTCTCAAAATACACTACTGTTTCCACAAGAAATGTACTGTTTGCATACAGTATCTTTGAAAATAAACATGCTACGTTGGTACAACACTGCGAATTGGAAACGCAACCAAAAGCACATGGTTGGGTTTAGGAAAAAAGAACAGGGTTTGGCTTTACAATCTCACAGGAAGCTAACACCGTCCTCCCGAGTGGAAGTCGGTGGTTGTTGGACCCGTCCACAACCCCTCCCACCCATCCTACTCGGACTTCCGCAGACTTAACTTTCCTTGTTGTGTTTCCCCAAGAAGCCACCAGGTGCCATCAAACAATAATGGCGACGGGCCGCCTTTCATGCCAATGTGAAAGGACAGCTTTATTCGTCAGTGTCGGACACCAGAAGACTGAAAAATATGTGAAGTCTTCACAATGTATAGTCAATGAGCCAAGCGGGAGCTTGCGGCCGGGGCCAGCAGGACAAAGTGGAGTGCAGTAGACTGCGTACTGTGGAAGTAAACCCAGAAGCTAGAAAACTTCTTGGGGGGTATGTACCAGGCAAGCAATGCCATTGGAATGAATAGATGCCATCTTGGTGTCTGGTATCTAGGTATTATCAAAGTCTATAAACTGTACAGAAAAGAGCTAATGCTGGCTAATGTTAGCCAGCGCTACCAACTATACTCATTCAAATACAAAATGTATTTGAAAATGAATGTAAAAGGGAAAGGTGTGGTGGGGATGTAGGGTGCCCCTTTTCTATTTGAGCCCCTGCCCTTCACATGTTTGCACACGGGTCTGATGCAGAGTGACCCCTCCTTGCATGGTAAACAAATGTGCATGGCTGTTTGTAATATATGCTTGTAATACTGTGTAAGGCCTCAAGTGTGCATTTTATTTCAGGGTGATATATTGTGAAGATTTCAAGAAGACATCCGTCCTGTTTACATGTTACACATGGTCCGCTCTGCCCCTCCCCTGTAGGGACTTTTGTCAGCCCGCTGCCAAAATATGTGAAAGTCAATCCAAGCCCTGTCGCTCAGCGAGCATGTTATTTAAAACTGGACACCATCATGGCAGGGGCACCGAGCAGCAGCTCTACTGAAGTCAGCGAGGATCCACCCTGTAACCCGTGAAAACAACGCTTCTGTGGACAGACTCGAGAGATTCTTTGTATTTTTCGTCCTGCCCGTCGAGCCCCAGATGTCGCTCCCAGTGGTGCTGCCGGGGTCTTGCTGTCCGGTTATCGGGGCTTCGCAGCTCGCTGAGTCGTCTTACCGAAACCGACCCCGTGGCTTGTCCGCCTCTTCCCGGATCGCCGGCGGGGGCTCTCGGCTGCTACTACCGGGGCGGCCGCTGCTCTCGCTGGGCTTGTTGCAGCTGCTGCTCGGCGGCTCCATGGTGGCGCTTTGCTTTGGAGCTCTGTCCCTCAGTAACTCACCACCTATCCGAAACTCCTGTCCCTTCTGGGCAGGCTCCTCGGTGAGTTTACCTTAGCCACGGGCTTATATCATCACTGTGCAGAACAGCTCATGTTTAATGACAGGTGTTCCTAACTTTATCACAGGTAACATACCCTTTGCAAGAGTTCAAAATATTAGTGGACTGCATTATATTGCGATGCAAATTAACCCCTCACTGGGACAACAGTGACGTTTTGTTTGCCACTTTTAAAACGGAAACGACAGAAACAAATGTTGTATACTGCAAAAGCATATGAGCTGTCGCCACCTTGTCTGGTTTCCATTTATACCGTCAATACTGTCACCCAGTCAGATATGACATGAAAGTGTCAGATGATTCCTCACATATGTTACTGTCAGAGCCATGTGGTAGTATGATGGGTAGTGTTACACTGTAGGCTACTGTGAGCAATACAGGTCCCTTTCAAAGGAAAAAAACAACAACTTCTGGTGTTAATTATCTGTGCAGGTTTAACACAGTCCTGATGGGTATTGTTGGGCAAGATACTCAGGAAATGCAAAAAGTTACTGTTTTACTCATTAGGCTACTCCTTTGAAAAGTAGGAAATGTAGTAGGCTACATTACTTGAAATGAGAAGTAAGTTACTATACCTCTTATTTTACTGCATAAGTTTCAGTAACCCCCCTTCCTTCTGAGAAAGTGACATACAACCTGTTCAGGCAGCTCATTTTGGAACAGAGTCCACATTTTTAAAAAACAATAATGATGGTGTGAATGCTGAATCACCACTTTTTTGTTCCTCTTCTGTACATTTTCGATCAACTTGGCTTCTACTCATGCTTACTTTCAGCTACAGAAACCAATCAATTATCAAAAAGTTGTTCTCCTCAGGGGAATTCATTTTGTATTCAACTTTTTACCTTTTGTGTTTTTTGGAAATGCATTTTGTAGTTAGCCTTACAGGAGGAGTCAACAATCAACCAAACTGCATAACTGCAAAGATTACAGCCTCTCAAACCCCCATGGGATATACTATATGTAATTATACATATATAAAAAACATAAAGCACAGTTCCCTGACTTTTTACTAGTGTTCCTCTGCACATTCCATCATAGGAACAGCAATGAGTATTTAATGGTTTTACAAAATATACATGTTGCGTAACACCACATTTAGGCTGACATCTGTCCAGCTCTTTGTTTTGTTATCCCTGCCTGACATATAAAGTAAGGTTTTAATGTTCAGAAGTAAAATAATAATTATATCTCATAAGCATAAGCTTTGCAAACCTCTTCTCAGACAGTCTGTTCCTTCTAAGGTCGAGCACCGAACCTCCTAAACTAAAAAGCTGCTCCACAGGTGTGTTAGAGAGAGAGTTGTGCTTTATGTGAATGTTAAAAGATGTTTGAGGGTTCTGAGGAGGAGGAGTCTCAGCGCCATACTTCCCTGGCCTCAAATGGCCTATTACCTCTTTCCCTGCCAAATAGCTGTTCTTCGGCTTGGGCTCTGTTTCAAATGCGTAAAAAGTCGATTTCATCATGGCTGGGTGATTGTGAGGACACAGAAGCAGGATCCTCTGCTGGAGCAGTTGTGCAACACTCTGCTGTCAGGAACTCCCTCACAAACTCTGTCCTGCACTCATCTCTCAACAATCTGAGTTTGAACTGAGGACAATTGGCAGCTGCAAGAAGAAAATATTTTTTTTATGTGGGCTATTGGCTGTAGACCTAAACCAAACTTCCTCCAATGTGGGATCAGTATCACAGATTTATTTTTTAAGCTGTTTATTAACCACTTCTGTTGCTGTGATGATGAATATCAGTATTTTGACTACTATAGCTTTGATAATTTTACTAACTACTTTAAAAACAAATATTGCAGTAACATCTGTCCCCTGTGTTAATGAGATGTGTGATGTAGAAAATCTGTCCAAATAAATCAGAAAAAAAAGACAGAAAAAACAAAGGAATTTAGAAATATAGACATGCCATCACAATGACTTCAGGAAGGCCAGCTGTCATCCTTGAGAGGATGTCTTTCAAGCCATGGTCTTTGACATCAGGACTTTGAAGGCTGGTAATAAAGTGCCGTAATGACAGTTATTCCCTCGTAAGATATCCAGTGCTGCTGTAAGTGCCTTCATGACAGTGCAGTAATCCCGCAGCAATCGGTGCTCCTTGTTGTTGAAGTGGGAGGCACGGTGGTATAGTGGTGAGAATTGTCGCCTCACAGCAAGAGGGTTCCTGGTTTGAACCTGGAGTGGGAGTTGAACCCCCCCTCTGTGCAGAGTTTGCACGTTCTCCCCTCACTTCTTCCATGTGTTCTGATGCAACTGTAGATCGACTTGTCTTGGCCTAAAGAGCTGTGCATTTCACTATACACAGCCTCGGCATCTTTGCTGGAAGTTAAGTATTCCTCAACATCACTGGTGGAAGTTAGGCCAATGCGTACCTGTAATGTGGGAGAAGAGTGAGCTGATGATCATCATCAGTGGAGAGGGGTTTTGTGAGATCTGTAAGAGTGACATTCTCATTGCTGCTTTCTTCTTCCAGTTCAGAATTGACAGGCTAAATTTGATGCATTGTCTGACACAGTGACTTCAACTTACCCATCAGTCCATATGATAAGTGATTTTGATGTATCTGTGCTCCAAAGTGGAACTGCTGATCCAGTAAACTGTTACACGCAGAAAGCTTTTATTGTCAGCTGTCCAGATGTCAGTGGAGGTGAAAACAAAGTCTAACTCTCCCAGTATGGTCTTCAGATTAGATTCCATGACAAAATATTATCTCTTTGGGTAGCCAGCAAATGTTTTTCTCTGTCGTAGCTTGACATTGTTTGGAATTTTCTCTGTAATGCGCCAAAATGAGCGTGAGTCAACTGTGGAAAAATGTAATATCTCCTCCAGGAGACTTAATATCAGCACCTTTGTAACCGTCATCCTTCACCATCACCACCATCCTTCACCAAAACATTTTATGATCACCAGTTAAATAATATGGCATGAAATACAGACCACATGTTCATGGTATATGAGGACTTCTTGTTTGAAGTGAGGGTTGCTGGTATGGTGGGAATCACCAGAGGACCCACGATATGATATTACCACGATACTTAGGTCACAGTATGATATTATTGCAAGATAAAAAACATCGGGTCGGATTCACACACCTGGGTGTTTTTTCAGCATGTAACAAAAACCTTTGTTTTCAACTATGCTGTACGGATGCAGATATTTGCACATGAAGTACTGTAGGTGATGGACTCTGTTATTTTCTTAGCTCTCTCAGAGTTGGCTGGTAGCTTTGTCAAGCCAAGTGTGCCCAGTGTTGGTTGAGTTTTAGGCAGAGCAGGTTTAATATTAGCTTGGTCGTCAGCTGCTAGCGCTATCTCTGGATGGTGGTTGGTGAGGTGAGCCCTCATGTTCGTAGTGTTCTCAGAGTATTTTATTCTCAACACTGCTTGCAAATAACATGTCATCCATTCATTCCATTTAAAAACAAATCCAAAATAAGTTCAGACGTGGGTGTGAATGTAAGCATGAATGGTTGTCTGTTTCTATGTGTCAGCCCTGCGATATTCTGGCGCCCTGTCCGGGGTGTACCCTTCCTCTCGCCCAATGTTAGCTGGGATAGGCTCCAGCCCCCCCACAACCCCCAACAGGATAAGCAGTTACCAAAAATGAATGAATGAATTAAGTCCAGACGTATGATTTAAATGCCCACTGCACATTCCTGATTTCTTTCTCCAGTGCCTCCATCTCTGTTTTGATGAACTTCCTGCCAAATGCTGCTGACTAAGACCTCTGCAGACCCCATTAAGAAAAAAAACATCAGCACCATCTCGTGGACCGAATTTATTTTATTATTTAGTACCAAAAGTCATATTAAAATGTGTATTTGCAAAAGTGAATAATGTATATGATAGAAGATTGATACTTGGTGCCTGTGCTTCGATACAGTATCAGCATGTGAAATATCATGATATTATGCTGTATCAATTTTTTTCCCCACCCCTAGTTGCTGGTAAAATTTCCTCCCATGCTCCGCCATCTTGTCTTTCTCTCACACAACATGTCACTCTGTTGCTCCTCCAACCTTTGGAGAAGATTAAATTCCCTTACCTCCTGCAGAGAATCCCCTCTCTGCCCATGTTATATATCACTTTAAATTCAAAGCTATTTAAGGATAAAGCCTATCAATGTCCACTCCAGCTCTCCAGGCTTTGCTGCAGCATTCCTGTGTTTCACACCATGTGTTGCACAGGATATGTAGTATGTATGTTGTGCTACAGTATGACAGTGATTTAGTGGGTCTGCACTATGCTTGGCAGCAGCCAAGCACAGAAGTTGGTGGACTGTATCATGGACTGAAGTACTTCAAACCTACCACACTGAAAATCAGCAGCAGAGGGGTGGAAGCTGTTCAAATGTAGTGGTGGAGGCTAAATTTCTTTAGTGGTGTATACTAACAGAAGAAAAAGATACTAGGTTTGAGGTAATCACCTAGTCAAGTAGCAGATGGGTTTGGCCCGTATAGGTTTTTAGGAATGATAACCTGTGATAATCTATGAAAACATTACTTAGATTCTTTATTTTATTTGTACAACCAATCAAATGATTTTGTAAAATGAATAGTGCCACCTGTGAGAAGCCCACATACGAATTACATTTTTGGTGGATATGTGCATCTGTTTGTTTTGTTCCATGTTGTGTTTTTTTTTCAGACAGTGATGCACCGTATGAAAATAATTGTTCTCCATGTGTTTGCAGGTCATTCTGTCTGGCATTGTTGGCCTTACAACATGGAGAAGGCCCATGCTTCTACTGGTAAGGGATATGGTCTTGGTTTCTTCTATAAAGCAGGGACTGCATTGATTATGATGTTTTGTTGCTGTTAAATTAAATCCAGTAGTTAACTCACTTAGGGCTGTCCAGTAGTGTTCCATGGAGAACTAACAATATGCAGGTTTCCAGGACTCCATCCACTGATCAGCACTCCTTCAGGCAGAGGGGGAGCAGTCATCAGTGGAATCACTGCTGATCAGTTGAAATGAAAACCTGCAGACTGTCAGCTCTCTGTGGCACATGATGGGACAAATCAGATGTAGATTCAGAAAATACAGATGTTGAGAAGTGTTTAGACATAGGGCTTCTTTTCTTAATTCCCCACAAACTCAACAGCCAAAACTCTAAATGGTGCCAAGGGTGAACAGAGAAATGGTTGTTATATATATTGTGCTATGGCAAACCTACTCAGAAAGGAAAAAGCTAATTAATAAATCCATTAACAAATGGAATCGCAGTGAAGTCGGTCCTCCTCTTCTAACATGTGTTAGGTCACGTGTAGTAACAAGCTACATGTTCTCAGCTAAGTGTGGCAGGTGGAGTTCTACTCCTGCTCTGCCTGCGTTTTGATCACAGACCAGATAAAATAATGGACGTAGCCACTGTGATGTCACAAATTAGTTTGTAGACTCCCATTTTGGAGTCTTGAGTTTGGCAATTTGGCCGTTGCCATCTGGGACTTTTGGAGCCGCAAGTGATCTTTTTTTTACGAAAGCGTGGAGCTAACTGTGACGCTTTTTGCTAGCTTGGTTAGAATGGTGCATTTACAGCTTATGGAAACAGGCTTAATATCATCAAAACAAAGTGCACTTAGTGGAAAAAACTGAACATCTGACTACTTAATGCAGTAATCATCAACTGGCGGCCTGCGGGCCACAGAAAGCTCGCCAAAGCTTTTCATCTGGCCCGCAGAATACAGAAAACTAAAGACATTATTAATCCATCTGTGAGCTTATTATTAGTGGTAGTGACGTGCGTGGTTCGGGAAGGCTTACTAAAAAACTATCAAATATCAAAAAGTGACAAAGCAGCATCCTGAGTAAGCTGTTAATGACTTCCCTCTGTCACGCTCGCTCTCTCTCTCTCGCGCTCTCTCTCTCTCTCTCTCTCTCTCTCTCTCTCTCTCTCTCTCGCTCTCTCTCTCTCTCTATCAGGCCCCCACAGCGTTCACTGGCGTGGATATGGAAGAGTTTGGTTAATAATTCCACTAACACAAACGAAATGAGCAGATGACGATGCTGCGCGCAAAACAACTGTGTAGTGCGTGCGCAAGCGTGAACCACTTGTTTTCATTTGGATGAAGTGCTGCTGGATCAAAGATCATAGAGCGCTACGCGTAGGGCAGGGTTGCCAGGTCCACTTATTAGCCACGACTTTGGGCTTGTTTTTTGTAAAGTCGCTTACAAATATTGGTAGTCCCGGGTTGTGGTTTTTTGGGCGTTTTTCTAAAGTGGAGCTGCTTATTTGGGCTTGCTCTATAAACGTTGCCTTTCTCTATATATATCTGCCTAATAAGTTGATTAAACGTATGATAGTAAGACTGCAGGATGTTTCCACAGCTCCGCCCCTCTCCTTCTCCGCATACACACAGGTGAGTCAGTCAGTGAGACTTTTCACATTTAAATTGCGCGATTAATGGAGGTTCTTTAACTGTTTCGCTAACAAGTGGGTGAAATATGGAAAGAATACAATAAAGATTTGTGGAAAGAGAGAGGATTAAAAGATTCAACTTCAAGAGGGGGACGATTCAAAGGCAGTGTGCAGATTCAGATTCTGTGTGAAATATGTGCTCATCATTCAGATCTTGTTCAGCATACCAGCACTGTTACAGTGAAAGTAAAATGGCTCGTTATATGCAACGTCTTTACTTTCATTCATTCATTTATTCTTTCCACGTTTTTGGTCAGCTAGATGGTTTGGTAGAGTTCAAGGGCAGTAAATATAATGTATTTGTAAAGTAATTTTGAAACGGTTGCTTATGAAACTCCATGAAAGTCCATGCATATACTGCACATATATATATACAGTACAGGCCAAAAGTTTGGACACACCTTCTCATTCAATGCGTTTTCTTTATTTTCATGACTATTTACATTGTAGATTCTCACTGAAGGCATCAAAACTATGAATGAACACATGTGGAGTTATGTACTTAACAAAAAAAGGTGAAATAACTGAAAACATGTTTTATATTCTAGTTTCTTCAAAATAGCCACCCTTTGCTCTGATTACTGCTTTGCACACTCTTGGCATTCTCTCCATGAGCTTCAAGAGGTAGTCACCTGAAATGGTTT